AATGTCCACCCTACATCATCGGTCTATGCCAGAGACACAAAGGGAATAGAAAGAGAATGTGAGGTTGGAAGTTTGGTTAAACATCGGAGGTGATGATAAAGGGTCTGGTGGTGGGTGGTGGGTCTTATACTGAAGCCTAAACCCTCCTCTATTTTGAGTCAAAATCCTTCCCATGTTCTTCCCCATTTCAATCTCTCACCAGTAAGATTTTGTAATCGATTGAATTTGTAATGATTCCAGAGTCCTAATGACTAGTTTTTCTTTCAAGTTAGTCAAGGGACGCACGGGGAAGGGGTGAAAACACAAACCCTTATGAACGAGGATGGTGGATGGCGGCTATAAGAGGTTTTTTGCAATTTCTGGAGAAGCTAGGGCAATTGATGAGGGCATTGAAAGAGGTTGTTTGACTTTTTCTAGAGAGAGAGAGTGATAAGGAGACATGTTATTTTTTCTTAAATATTTTAAAATTTTTAAAAAAAGTAAATAAGGGTAAAATAATCTTTTTAGTGTTGAGAGAGATCAAAACCACAAACAAACTTGTTGAAAATGACCACTAATCCAAATATGTTGGGGTTTGGACCATAACCCGAAAAAATGCATACAATATGGACCATTTTTTACAATTTTGTCTTTTTAAAAATAAAGGTTGAACACGTAATTTACTATTTGCGTACCAGTGACGAATCATGTAATTTACTATTTATTTAATGACACAATACGGAATCATTTATGTACCGGCATACTAAAAAACCCTTATATTTTGTTTAAATACGAAAAAACTCTTGTATTTTCAATTACTTTTTACATTTACCTGAATATCCATTATTTAAAGAAGGTGCCAATTGTTTCTTGATATTGCATTTATTGTGTTCGTTTTTTGGGTGACATGAAAAAAATAAACGATATCACTTATTTTTGCTTGATAATGGTTGTTGAGTAAATTATTTATTTCTCATTTTTTACTTTAGACAAGAATGTTACTTTTTTTAGTATCGATGTTAACCTAAAAACGAAAAAGATAAATGTAATGTTACAAGTCATCTTTATAAAAACAAAATATGAGAGTTTTAATGAATGCATATATAAACAGACAAACATGATATATATAATATGGTTTTATTTGTAAATATTATATTCGTTTGTTGATGTTTGTGTACACTCATTTTGTACCCATTCATTTATGTTTGTTTATTTACTTTTATTTATATTCGTTCGTTTTTATTCATTCAACATTTTAACGAACAAAGTATTTTCTTTTTAAAAAGACAATAAATTCCGTATGATTTTCCTATTAGTTTGGTTCATTTGCATAACAGATTCCCATCTACATTCAATATTCTCACATCTAAACCATGAATTATAATCATACTTTGGTTCACTTCTTCAACAATTGGTTCCCTCGACAGTAGATGGAGAAGGAACTTCGAGCTATTTGTTCCTTTTTATCATCTTGATCTTAATTAATTGGTTTTTCTTATCATCTTTATCTTAATCATCAACAACGGATGGACCTAATTGCAAAAATTATGGGAGTCTTTTTCTTAGACGAAAACATGTATTTTCTTTGAACTATTCTTGGGTTGAAGTTATTATTGGACCTATCCAGGCCCAATTTACACCGGGTTATTGATTTTAGTCCCAGCCTCGGGCCTAAGTGCCTAACCATGACCGATTTTTTCAAGCCCGAGTCCGAGATAGCCTATCGGAATTAAACCGAAAAAAGATTCAGGGACTAAAGTTGCAAATTAAGAAAACATATAGGGACTAAATTTGAACTTCATCCATCCATTTCCTTTGTCGCCACCTTCATAAATCATCCTCTCAAGTCTCAGAGTCTCAGCCATACGAACTCCGCCGCACGCAAATGAACGACGCCCGCAAAATTTCCCTAAAAGATAAGATCAAACAATCTCTCTGCTTCTCATGTTGTTTCACCGGCCACCGCGTTGAAACCCTACGCTCCGAATCAACATCCTCCACTTCCAACGGCGACAACAACAACAACAAGCAGCGTCCACTGTATCTCATCGGTGCATCATCGCAATGGATTAAATCCCGTGCCTCCGTTGATCTACCAGAGATTAAAGACAAGTGCCGGAACATTTTCGGTCGGATTGGATGCAGTAACGCCAGACAAAATCACCGCCGCCGTCGCTCCTCTACTGATTTCAGGTACGATCCTCTCAGTTACGCGCTCAATTTCGAAGAGGATTCGTATGCGAACCTTGAGGATGATGCTCCCCTCAAGGATTTCTCGATGAGGTTGCCGTTGTCACCTCCACAGTCCTCTTCCGCTCCGTCGTTTACTACGGCGGATCATCAGCCGACGCTACACGTAGCCGCTATATCGTGATTCTACCACTTCGTTTTAGTAAACTATAGATTTATACATCAGAAATTGTATATGAAATCGGATTTCTAGGGTTTCAGCTTTCAAGTGTCGTTTCTGCTATGAACTTCAGTTACATTTGAATTTTCATATTATTAAATCATTTTTTTTTTTCGGTTTCTTGTTTATAGTGCATTTTCTTTTTCATTAATTATACAAATTTAGAACGAAATTCAAAACGAAATTTCGATATCAAAAGCTTATTCTGAATGATGCTATAAACTGTATCATGCAGATGTTAATTTGGATTTAATCAAAATATAAACTAATAACAAACTATGTATAAATGTGTTTTGTTATTTGAAATTGTAAGCATCAAATAAATAAATGTTTGTCAAATTTTAATTACGACTAGCAAATGAATTAAATTAAAAAAAAAAAAATTAATCATATATAATTGAATTTATGTCAAAAAAAAAAAAGGCAATAAATTATTTAGAATAGAGTAAATTACTGAAATTGTCCTATTGTTTGGTCAAAATTACACGTTTAGTCCTTAATTTTTTTTTTTACATTCGGATCGTACCCGTTGTTTGATTTTGTTGTGTTTTTTGTCCATATGGTTTGGTCAAAATTACACGTTTTGTCCCTAACTTTATGTATGTAAGGGACGAAAAACGCAACAAAATCAAACCACATGGACGATGAGTGGAAAAAAAAATTATGAACCAAACCATAATGACGATTTAAGTAATTTAATCTTTAGAATATTCAATGAATAACAATAAAATGATTTTTTTTTATCAAAATGTAAACTATTATTACTAATTTTATTCAACAAAAAATAAAATAAACATAACCAGTTAAACACGTAAATTAAAATATTAATATTACAATTTATAAATAATCAAGAAATTGTTCAAAAAAACCAACAACCACTTCAACCACCATTCATCACCCATCACCCTTCTTCTTGTTCATTTGTTTTCTTCAATATAAGATTCAATTGTCCATTTCATCTGTTTCTCACTCTTTGTTAACCAAAATCTTTTAACATGGTTGAAGGAGACGAAAAATCTATTCAACATAAATTTTTGGTGGGAGATATCATCCTTGTACAACAAAAACATTGATGGAAGACAAAGAACAACATTTCCATGCATGTTCACCCAGAACAACATGTACATCAAGTAGAAGACAACAGAGATTTCGTCTTATTAGCTTTGATATTAAAGCAAGTTCACCCAAGTTGGTGAAAGAAGACAATGAACATGTCCACCCAAGTTTTCATTCGATTAGAATTTTAGATATTAAACATATATTCCCTTTTAAATTTCAAAATATCATATTTGTTCAGCTTAATTTTTTAATATCATATTTACCTTTTATAAACCTTCAAAATATCATATTTGTCAAAATCATTTTTTATAATGTTTTTAATATTTTATAATTATTTTTATACCTTAGAATTATTATAATAATTAAATTTTTTAACCATAACCATGTTATCCTTACGTTTATGATAACATAATGTGAACTTTTAAATTGTTGGAATATTGTCCTCTTAACAAACAAGAATGTTCATCTTCAACCCTCTCTATGAAAAGTATATTTTGATGTTTAGTTTTTGTTGTTGATTATTATCATGTTGTAGATGGACGATATTTTAGATATTAACGTTGACATTTTGATTTTTAAAAAGTGCGTATACGATATTTTGATATTTAAAAAATGCATATATGATATTTTAATGTTTAAAAAGAACATATATGATTTTTTGAAATTTTATGAATGGTAAATATAATATTTAGAAATTTTATAAAGAGTAAATATGATATTTAGAAATTAAGTTGGGTAAATATGATATTTTGATGTTTAAGAAGGATATATATAAAATTCTTTGTTGATGGTGGTAGAATGTATTTAAGGTGTTTTTTGTATAATATAAATAGTTTGTTATTTATTTATAAATTGGAAACTGATCCGTTTAATAAAAAAATATGTTTTTGAATTTTATACATTTTATTTGGAAACTGATGGTTTCCACACCGTAATTTGTTTAATTTTTAGTTTTGTTTTAGTTAAATTTCATTCCATTATATGATATAATAATAATAATAATAATAATAATACTTAATATTTGAAACAAAAATTAGACAAAAAATCATATACATGATACTATGATCATATGGATGTACTATTATAAAAATCGGTTAAATATCTTTATTTGCTTTATTAATAATCATACCATAAGCTAAAAAGAAATTAATTTTTTTTTTATTAATGGTGCAAATTAAACAACTATCACGATCACAAATAAATTAGCGATCATAGATCGTGATTTGAAATAGCATTTTTCGTGATGCATTAGTTTGAATATTTTTGTAACATGAATTGTTTTGAATTTTTTTTCTTGGATAACATCTTACCTAAGTAGGGTGAAATGCGTTATCACCTTCACTATTACATTGTGAGAGTTGTTTTTGTTGTTTCAAATTTTAGCTCCTGACTACTATTTTATTTGTGGTTGTGCATTTGGAACAACAAACTCATCATTTTCGACTCTACTAATGATGACGGTGATAGCTGTTTAGATTATAAATAAAATAAAATTTTAGTTTATAGCATGACACTAAATAAATCAAATAAAGATATTTAAGTGATTCTAATAATGATTTATCCATATGGTGTTGGTATGACACTATAAATCATATAAAGATATCTAGTTTTTGTTTCAAATATATATTTTTTTGAACAACTATTAAATATTATTATTATTATTTATATATATACTTTATTTTAATAACATATAATAAAATCAAAATTAAACTTAAACAAAAAAGAAAAGTAAAAAAAGAAAACCAATTAAGATCACAAGATCACGTAGGAAATCATAGGTTTTCATATAAAATATATAAAAAATCAAAATGAGAAAAAATGAAAAAATCAAAATAACTGGTGATGAGGGTTATTGTTTCTAAAAGGACGTAAAAGGATAAATGTAATTTCACTAAGTGGATGGTATAAAAATTTTGAGTGGAATTATCAGCCCTTATAAATTAGTATACACTATCAATTCTTAAAACTTTTGGTTACAGTAAACTTATTTATCTTTTCTCTTTTGCCATGGAAGTTTTCTTCATCATTTTAAGGGTACAATGAAAAATCCATTTTCTCCTTTATTATTTTTTTTTTTCTGTTTTATTTGTTTTCATTACCGCCTTGCCGCCCTCTTCCTCAAATACTATTTTTCGCTTTTTCTTATTTCCTCTTTCTTTCTTCTTCACTCTTCCTTCGTCTTCCACTGTTGTCTTCTTATTCTCCCTCCCTGTCTCTGTTTCTTTTGTAGGTATGCTGTATTTTCTATTGCCCTCTTACTTCTTCTTACTGCTACTTCTTCCTACTGCTCTGCTGAACAGGAAAGTTTTGGAGTTCAAAAATTGATCACATGACTTCTTGTATTCACAATTCGTTATTATTAAAAGAGATCGACTTCAAAATATCGGCTCACCGACTTCACCTTCCAATCATATAAACACCGCCTCTCTCACCCCACCCTGCATAATACAGTTGATGTCTCTCTATAATCAATTTTATTTCTTGGAGTCGACAATCCAACTAGATACAATGTTGGAGTCGCTGAAGGACGGAGACGTTTTATTGGTGGCGGCCGTCTAAGGTCAGTTTTTGCTCCACCGCCTTATTCCTCCATCGACTCTTCTCAAACCGACAACGACGGAGGGGGCCATTTCTGCTTCCACTTTTTTTCCTATCTAAACCCTTCTTCGAATTCACATATACAAAAGTTGATTTGTTGTATCTTTCTCTCAATTGCATCCAACAACCTGATTGATGAAACTATTTGCTGTAATCGGTGATGTGAGGATGTCTTACTTTGCTGATAATCATCGTCAATGAATTCAAAGTAACCTTCGTATTTGCTACAATCGTTCACAAGGATTGACAGTAAGTTATTCTAGTAAAACCTTACCGGATAGTCCGTCTATAGTTAATAGGGAATTGGGAGACCTAAAATCAGCCGACATAAACAACTTTTTTTCCAGGTTTTCATTGCTTCTTATTTATTCAGTTTTATTGGAAGGCTGTCAGATCGTTGACTTCTTCTCAGACAACTTACATAAGAGGATCGGTTTGTTTTTCTTCTGCCCGATGTATCAAAAGGCCATTAATCCTCCCACTCACATGCTCTGTTATCTATCGATTAGCTGCGTGTTAATCTTGATCTTCTCCAAATTTCAATTAGGTAAATCGTAATCACTTCACCTTCTTAAATTTTTTTTTTTTCAATTACTGATTCTGTGTATTTGTTAATATATTGGTTGATTTTAGGTTTCAGTCAGTATTTGCTTTCATTCTCCCTCAATTTCAATGCTACTGGTCTAGAATTTAACAGGAAGAGGGAAAAGTACTTTAATATTGCATTTACTATTTGTTGTTGGCTATATTTTCTCATAGTCATTCTTGCTGTGAAGTTTGGGTTACTCTAATGCCATTGATAAAAATCAAAGGTAATATACTTTCGTTTTGGCTACTTGAAAAACGCCTAAAGTAACCTTCTTCGTGTCTTTGTAAATATCAAAGGCAATATACTTTCGTTTTATGTACTTAAAAAATGCCTAAAGTAACCTTTTAGTTGTAAATCCAATCACAACAAGAGATTAACAATCTCAGAAAGGAATTACAAGAAATATATGAGATTTATGAAGCAGCTGTTGATGAACTTGACTTAATGAAGATAGAATATAAAAGTTTATTATTAAAGAAAGTAAGAAAAATGATACCTCTACAAAACATAAATTGCTCATGAGTTATGACACCTTTTGTTTCTTAATGTAGGATAAATTAACCAATGACTTTTGCATTGTAAGATAACCCCTTTCACTTGTGAAAAAACAAAAGAAGGTAGTTGAAAAAGAGGTAGTAGCATAATAAATGCAGTACGTGAAACTGATAGTGGCTTTGAGTTATTTTACACATTTTTATATTTTCAAAGTTGGATATATTGAAGCTTATTATTTATTTTATTTAAATCTGTAATAGGACAAGAAACCATCCATGAAAGAAATAAACCTTATCAGCTCCACCAGCATGTTTTAACTGACATTCTGCAAGACCCATGGATCAGATGCATATTTTTTATGAGTATACAGGTAGTGCCATGTTTTTATTATTATTATATCAATAAGTAAATATATATTGATTAACGAAATAGATTTTGTTCCAGGCATCTGTTTCACATGGAAAGCTGCAAACCTATCATGGAAGATCACCAATTGCTATAATTAGGTAAAATTCTCAAAACAACATATGAATGCTATACGATATATTTAGAAATGTTGTAATAAGGTGGATATTTAAAATATAACGTCCTAATAAGAAAGATAATTTTAAAATAAAATGCTATACATGGTATATTTTTCATAATATAATAATAAAATAATAAACTTTTTTTTGAAAGTATGACACTATAATAAAGAAAATAGTAAAAGTATGTTGCTATTAAAAGCTAAATTTGAATCTGTTGTTATTGCAGTTGATTGAAGTCCCACTTGTGAACTTTAATATACAATTTCTTAACGAAAGATAAGGATTAGACTTCTGGAATTGAACATTTTTTCTCATTTTCAATTGATTAGTTACATATCAACATTTATAATCTATCCTAACTACAAACTTTCTCAACAACAAATGTATACACTATTCTTAGTAATCTCCAACTTTATTTATGTTAACATTTGTTGCTATCTGCTCTCCGTTAAAATTATTGTTGCATTTTGATTTCTTTCAAACTGAAGTCAATGAAACCATGTTATCAATCAAAATTCACAAAATAGAAATTTATCAACATTTAAGCAAACCTATCTAACCCGGCACCAACAGCGCAAGTAATTCCTTCTAGTTATCGATCAATTTACATGTCAAACAAGCTATAAATGATATTTGTTGAGCAGTGAACTAATAACATATATTTTGATAATAATTTTCCAATTAAGATGTTATTGTGATTTTCTAACATGTATTATAAGATACATATAAGAATTATTAATTATGAATAATATTATTATAATTAAATATGAAATGTATAAATTATATGAAATATTTCTTAATAAATAGTTTAAAATGGATTAACTATGAAAAATATTCTACATAATTAATGCATTTCACATTTAATTATGATAATATTTCCACAATTAATTCCTTTTATATCTTACACATATATATATTAGAAAATCCATTGAAGAATTTAAGAGTCGTTGTCCAATTTCAAAAATAATTTTCAATAATTCTAGTAGATTTCATATTTTTATATAATAAATTGAGAAAAAATGTCAATTTATTTTTTATAAAAAATTGAGAAAAAAGTTCAATGTAATATAACAAGGTAAATAAGTGATTTAGTATTTTCTTTGAATAATCAACTTTGTCATGTTTTCTTTATTTTTTTAATAATTACATAATTATAAGAAAATTTCAATATTTTCTTACTTTTTGTTTCTACTTATTTTCTTATTTATATAAAATTATGACATATGAAATTTATTAATTTTTTTGTTTAATCTCCTCTCCTAATTTTAATATTTGTGTTAATTTAGCGAATAAATAGATGTGTGTGTGTGTGTATATATATATATATATATATATATATATATATATATATATATATATATATATATATACATACTAGGCGAATGCCCGCGCGTTGAGCAGAAAAACCTATATAGTTGAAGTTTTTACAAATATATGATTTTTTAAATATAACAATAACGTTGTTGTTAAATTTGATATAATAATTTGTATATACTAAATTGATATAATATATTGATTATTTTGAATTATATGATAATATATACATTTATTATAACTTCATAATCTCAATCGTTTGAATGACTTTTACCCGCGAGTTACACATGAATAAAATTAAATATAATATATGATTTGATGTTATTTATAGTTGTTTTTATTGTTAATTAATTTTTTAAAACTTATTTGTTTAATGTTTTAATTTCTATCATCATAATTATTTAAAACATCAAACATTGTTTTTTTATTTTAAAGTTAACAATATAATCATTTATATAAAGTTGTTTTTAACTATTGTTATTGTAAATTATTTTAAGCTACTTATTTGGAAATTTTTAACGATTATAAAAATATATCTAAGAAATATTTTAGTTAAATTGAAATTACAATTTAGTTTTTGTTTTTATCACTACAATTTATCACTTTTAACTATTTACAAAATATTTTTTAATTTTTTTAAATGGAACTGAAATTAATATTTGAGTTGACATCGTAATACGCATAAAAACCTATATAGTTGAAGTTTTTAGAAATATATATATTTTTAAATATAACACTAATATTGTTGTTAAATTTAATATAATAATTCGTATATTAATTCGATATAATATATTGATTATTTTATATGATATGATAGTATATAAATCTATTTTAACATCATAATCTCAATCGTTTAAATGATTTCTATTTGCGAGTTACACATCAATAAAATTAAATATTATATATGGTTTAATATTATTTATAGTTGTTATTTTTAACTATTTTTTTTTAAAAATTTATTTGCTTAATGTTTTAATTTCTATTATTATAATTATTTAAAATATCAAACATTATTTTTTGATTTTAAAGGTAACAATATAATCATTTATATAGAGTTATTTTTAACTATTGTTATTATAAGTTATTTTAAGCTACTTATTTGAAAATTTTTAATGATTATATATATATATATATATATATATATATATATATATATATATAGGAAATATTGTAGTTAAACTAATATTACAATTTAGTTTTTGTATTTATCACTATAATATATCACTTTTAAATATTTACAAAATATTATTTGGTTTTTTTAGTGGAACTGAAATTTATATATAAGTTGATACTGTAATGTTATATTTAAATTAACAATTTAAGTATTTTGTCCAAACTATTCAAAAATTGTAGCTTTAAATTGATAATGGTTTACATATAGCAACGTTTTAAATCTAATAAATAAAGTATAATATGTTAAAATTTAAAGACATAACTTTATAATTAAAAGTAAAGATATTATTTTAAAATTGAAATTTAGTATATTTATGATTACACTTTAGGTTTGATATTTATTTAATCTTATTAACCAAATTACAATCATTATTAGAAAGACACTACAATTTATTATTTTTAACTATTTATAAAATAACCTTTGGGTTGTTTAAGTTAAATAAAATTTATATTTAAGTTGAGCCTATAATGTTATATTTTAATTAATAATTTAAGTATTTTATACAAATTGTTCAAAAATTATACCTTTAAAATGATAATGGTTTACATCCAACAATATATTAAAACTAATAAATTAAATATAATATGTTAAAAGTTAAAAAACATATTTTATAAGTAGAATTAAAGATATTATTTTAATATTGAAATTTAATTTATATATGAATACACTTTAGATTTGATATTTATTTAACCTAATTACCAAATTATAATTATTATTATAAAGAAATTGAAAAATCATGGGTGTTTCCAATGAATGTGGTGAAAGGAAAAAAGAATGAGGGTTCAAATGCATGAGATTCAAGAAAAAATACTAGCTTTATAACTATATATATATATATATATATATATATATATATATATATATATATATATATATATATATATATATATATATATATATATATCCTAATAAAAGAGTGCAAAATTGATAAGTGGAAATTGCTCGACCATCTCTAATTGACTAATTCAGCAAGAACTGCTTCAATTTCAGAAAGTCGCTTTTTCTTCGGCTCTTTCTTTGAAAGTTGCCTATTAGTTTGCTTTTGAGGCAAAACTTATGCATGCTTCTCATTCGCTACCTCCTTTTCTACTTCTACTTCTTGTTGATGATCGTTTTCTTTGTCATTGTCATTATCAATTTCATAATCTTCACTTTCATTTTCCTGAAAAATAAAAACTAAACCAAGATTGATATTTTAGCTATTACCTAACACACTAAAGTGAGCAAGATTCGAAAAAATGTTCATATAAGATTTACATTTTAACGCTAACAATGTTAGTCATATGAAAAACGAAAGATTGCCAATTATGTCAAAGAATTAGATTAAAGAGAAACGAACATTAATATCATTGTTTATTATTTAGACAATACACAAGGTACAAACTTGATTGTAACAACATTTTATCGAGGCGTGAAGTTCAAATATCAACTCAATAAAAATTAAAATTCATATTTATTGTGAAGATGGAAATTGAAATCCAATTGAGAAAGATAGTCAAAAGACAAATCCTTTTTTATGGCAGACTTGGATTGATACCATATTCAACCACAAATTTGTAGTTCACCGGACACATTTGACTACATATTTATTCATTGAGGCAAGTTGTAAACAGTTTACATGCATAGTAAGAAAACCCATATATGAATACAGACACCCAAATATTAAGCTCGGCTTTTGTATCCTAAAGAATGATTGAATGAATTATATAAGGAATAAGGAACATTGTTGTCGGATGTAGTAAAAACAGGAAGAAAACGGATCTAAATACAATAAACAACTAAAAGAAGGCAAACCAGATAGACAAAAGAAAAAACTTTGAATGTATTTCCATGTGGGAAATCAAAAGTGCCTGTAAACAACATTGTAACTTCAATGGAAGTGAGGTGATATTTGGGAGAAATTAGAAGGAAGTTAGTATATATTAATGCGATGTGTTCGTTGTACAGGTTAGGGATGAGCATGGGTCGGTTTTTGGCTAAAACCAAACCAAACCGTAGAAAGTCGGTTTTTCGGTTTTTAAACCCATATAGGTTCGGTTTTCGGTTTTCCGGGTTGGGTTTATGGGTTTTTGGTTTCAAACTGTGGGTTTATAAGCTCCTGTTGTTTTCTAGTTTTTGGGTTCAAACCCGGTGAAAGTACGTAGCGATAAATTGTATTGTATCTACTTTAAATCTATACTAAAATAAAGAGTACGGATTCTAGTATTCTAAAATCATAAAAGTGTTCAAAAGATCAAAGTTTATCACCATTAATAGTTTGTTGAAAATAAACATAAAGTACTAATGGGATAAAGTTTAAAGTCTAAAACTAAAAGTTTAAAAAATAATAAATAATATATGTGTGGGTCGGATCGGTTTTTATGGGCGGTTTTACACATTAAAACCGAACCAAACCGTTATTTTCCGGTTTTTGTAAAATTCAATCCTAAACCGTTGTTTATTGCTTTGGTTTTGGTTTTTCGGTTTCGGTTATGTCGTTTTTTTTTTTTTTGTTTTTTCGGTTTTCGGTTCGGTTTTTGCTCATCTCTAGTACATGTTGTTATTAACAAATTAAACAGAAAGAAGAACAAAAAATTATAGAACCTTGCCTTTGAATCTATGTAGTTGTTCTTAAGCCTATATGTCAGACCATATTTGTGCGTGTGTGGCAATCAAAAACACGGACGACCATAAAATTAGTCAACTAAAGGCGTACACCTAAAAACACGGTAAGAGAATGAAGAAAGAAATTAAAGATTGGCAACCGTAGGTCGGATATGAAATATAAATAATACCTTTGACAACTATGTGTAGACTGAAATTATCGTCGTTAAACTCCGTTGGATCATATGAGGACTGCAAAATTCGAGGTCTATGTGTGATGGTGTAGTTAGAAGAAAGAAGAAACCATCCATTCCTGGACTTCCACCGGAGGTCTTGTTTCTCCTCTCAACAATCTAAGACGATTCATACGTATCACTGAGATACTGGCGGAG